ATGTATCAAAAGCTCTCAATTTATTAATGTACCAAAAATTACACCAAGAAAATGATCCAATCAAAATTTATTTTTAAAAAGCGGCCTAGTGTACTAAGCTCCCGCTATGCGCGAGTCCGGAAAAGGGGCAGACCATAAGGGTCTGTTGTACGCAGCCTTAGGCTGTTTCCACGACTCAACCTAGTAACCTCTTGGTCATATGGAAGCAACTTTACGGGCTACGGCCAAGTCTACCTCGGTTGTAATCAAATAAAAAAGGTTACTAAATATATACCTGAAGAGCAGAGAGATGTTTCTTGTAAAAATCTTCAACTTTTGTGCTAGACCCATCATCAATCAAAGTTTTGCAGATCTTACTATCCTGCAAACAACTCTGAATCCTACCCCAATGATTATTAACTCTTTTCTGTAACCAATTAGAATAATCACCAAGCCTATACTCTTTATACCCTTTACCAGAAAGTGCTTCACCAGCCCCTTTATTAGTCACAACAAAGGCAAAAATAGTGAAGCAAAAGATTAACAAAATCAACAAGAACATAACAAAAAGGTAAACCCAAAGAAGCCATGAAACTCTACAACAGGAACCAATTAATCCAGCTAGTGAAACTAACATGACAAATATTCCAAGTGCGATCACAGGTTTTTCAAGAAACCTTTCGCATTCTGTATTTGCTTGTCTTGATAGCCATATCCCTCCTGCTATAATCGGGATTGAAATCAGAAATGTGATTATGTTTAGAATTCCTACTAAATTGTTGCTCACACGCACCATTTTTTTTCAGAATCAAGAATTGATTTTTTGAAGAGAAGTGATTAGATTTCAACAAATTGAGCAAACCCCAGATGAGAAATTGAGGAGGATATGAAGAAACCGAAGAGGTAGAAAAATGGCGTGATTTTGGTGACGTTGTAAGAAGGTTGAAGAGGTATATAATATGGTGTGATATGGTGTTTATACAAGCAAAGAAGAAGTCTTTAGTCATTAGTGTGACGCGTGATAGTTCTGTGTTTGACTGTGCGAGTGGGGTTGAAAGGTACTAAAAGAGTTGGAAGTGATGTGGGTCCCGGTGACTTTTCGGAGTTTTTAGCGTAATCATTTGGGAGAAGACAAAAAGGATAAATCGAAAATAGAACAAGTCCTACTAGGCTGCTAATTTTTCTTCCTTTATTTTTTTTATTTGATTTGATTTTCCACCAACCAATGTGAAAAAGAAAAAAGAGGAAAATAAGTGATTTTACAAGAAAAATCATTAATGTTTTGATGAAAAAAGTTTTGAGGTTTGCAAAATTCCCATAAAAACAAGATGGTGTAATTTGTTTGAAAAACGGTATTTGGAAAAAAAAATATATGTTCCAAAATCCTTTAAACCAAACGTTATAAACATCAACATAAAAGGTTTCAATTGATATATATTCTTACACAAAATTAATTGATAACAATAAATTTATATAAATTGTTGCATGTATAATTTCAAAAAATAGTAATTTTTACATTCCTATGCCACATAGGAAACCTTATAACCCTCAATGTTTAAGGTTTGACTTAATTACACTTAATATGCCAAATTACCAATTCTATACCATAATTAATTAAGGATATAATTAATTGTACATTTTTTACTCCTTAATTAAAAGAATCTACATGTTTCTCTCTCCTAACCCCTCAGTCTCACCCACGTTTTACCCATACCCACGTTCTTTTTACCA